CATGTGGTTTACCGATACAGCATGATCGGAGCTTACGGGAAGGCCCATGACCAAGAGAAGATCAGACCATATGAAGATAGGGGCCGATGTAGTACTATGCCCGACCCCGCGGCCTTAGTCGCAGCTGGAGGGCTGCATGTTTGGCTCCAGTACATGTCTGACCCCCTACTGTAAACCCTGCACACCCTAAACCCCAAACACTGTTGCGAGTCTCCGGGCCCTCCCACATCTTAGCTGACATCGTAGTACCGGATTTCCATGAATGCAGCGAAGCGGCAGAGGAAAAGTATCAGGATTACCATTAACTGCTATTGTTATTGTACTGTGAAAGAGCCTTTGATTACCATTTACGGAAACGACTACTTACTCTTCTTTCAGGCAGACTGCATGCCTAAAGAGCCTTGGAGTTTCCTCGACCTACGGAGCCTCATCAGAGCAAGCTGCAAGGGCTCGGAAAAATGCGGCATTGTATCCCCCTATGGTTTCATATAGTTCTACCACCACCATCTACTCCGAAACCCTTATTCTTATCAATATTCAGGCCCCCATACTACATGTCTGATGCGATGTTCGTACTTCCGGGCCTGCGCTGGTAAGCTTCACCCCGACGGTTGTTCTCTGCATCTGAGACCTTTGCCAAGTACGCCAGAGCCTGTCGCTTCCCCCTACACATGCGCGGCATGCCCTTACAGGTTCTGCTGGAGGGGTATGTTATATAGAGGGTTGGTGCCGACATGCCTCCTTGTTTCGCCAAAGCACCGTCCCTGTATGATTCTGGCCGCAACGGACTCAGCCTCGCTTCAGTTTAGTAAAAGGTTTAGTATCTAGCGCAGTATGGATTAGTGTAGTTGAGTCGTTTTAGCGTGGTATATGGCATCGTGGCATAGCGCGGAGCCCGAATTTGGCGTTGGCGTTCCGGCATCATGGATCTTTCGAGACTTTGCGATATCTAGACTTTAAACTCCGAGGCCGTTTCAGTGTGCTGTTCCGTTGTCTTGTTGGACTTCACAGAGCATTTGTCTGTGGCCCCTGGCGTGCGTCCATGACCTTTTGCAGAAGAACATATCCGGAACATGAATTTGAACTGATTTGGCGTTCAGTGCCCCTCGGTGCAGGCAGTCTTTCTGCTCAGCAACCAAGGGCGACTGTGCATGGACATCTGATTTACATAGAAGTTTGCATACAAAGCAGGACTATTCCCCTATAGTCCCTCCATAACTATAGCTGTACTATGCTATATACCCTAACACCCTACACTGGTTCTTAACGCCCACACAAATTTTAGTCAGAATGAGCGAGCACTTGTGAGCAGAATGCTGGAAAGGCCATCAACCTTTGCTTGTTGCCCGTCCCACGCTCAAACCTTAAACCTTAGCCTGGCATCCGACATATTCTCCGGCTGCCCACTGGGAAAACTCGTGTAGTCGGCCATGGGTGATCCTTCCTCCATGCTTTCTTCCGGTCCAGCAGAGATGGGAAGGCCGAGCCAGACGAGCAGCGAAGATTCCGTCCTAGACTTCAAGGTGCCGGGCGAAAGGCAAGACAGTGCTCCCAGCCAGAGCAGCGGTCACGGCTCAATACCAAGCCCCGGGCACAGCGTTGATTCCGGGGCATCCGATACAGACCTGCACATCGAAGCAGTGATACCAACTCTGGTAGAACGCATTGCCAAGATGGAGGTGGTAAACCCAGAGGTCTTGAGGGTGACGCCGGTGTTTCGCGCCTTGGAACATTTTGCTGTAGCATTGCGTGTTGGATCTGCTGGGAATTTGTACCACAAGAGTCACCAGAGCCAGAGAATATCGACATTTTGGAGTCATTCTTGGCACGCAGGGCATTGGAAGAAGATCTTCGCCGTTATAACTCTCTACAACGGCACTGCTGCAGTATTGTTGTCTTTGCTCACCGGGGCGTGCATGATGTTGCTCTATGGTCTGGGAACCCTTCCTGGATTTGACCGCGGATGGTGGCACGACGGTCATCAGTGGTCTTGTTGGTCGACATTTTCAGGGTTCGTCGTCGCAAGTCTTGTAATGATTTTCTGGCGGCCACGGACCCGAGTTTTCCTTGACCGTATATGTATCAGCCAAAGCGACGCTGGCTTGAAGATGGAGGCCATACTTAGTCTGGCAGGACTTTTGAAGAATTCCGACAGAATGCTCATTCTGTGGGACCCAACGTGGACCGAGAGGTTGTGGCTAGGTAGGCCATTGGGACATTTTGTGTTTTCCTTTTCTTGGTTCTAGAACGGTCTCAAGAATTACGAATATTTTGCAGAGCCAACCTAGGTGGTGCTTGTTTGAGCTTGCCGCGTTCCTGAAAAGTA